TCATGATTACTTGATTATTACAGGCAGGTGTGTTTGATTATGGTTAACTAAACTCTGCAGGAACAGAATTGGATACAGACTGGATCTGGTGGTTACGGTGACCTCGGAATAAGAAAGAAACAGACTGATATTAGCGTAGATGCCATTCTTCTAACGATGTAGCAAGTACATCGGGTGTTATGGGAAGTGTTCCCGGTTCCGGTTGTCCTAATTAATGCAGCCTAACAATCCTTTAACGGATTTTAATATTAGAAGTGTGTTATGTGTAAGCCAGGTTAAAGAGATGGGTCTTTAATCTAGATTTAAACTGACAGAGTGTGTCTGCCTCCCGAACAATGTTAGGTAGGTTATTCCAGAGTTTGGGAGCTAAATAGGATTATAAGTAATAAGCAAGATTTTAAAATCTATACGATGTTTAATAGGGAGCCAGTGCAGTGTTGACAGAACCGGGCTAATATGATCATACTCTAGTTGCTGCATTTTTGACCAGCAACAAGAAAAATATGCATCTAAATGCTCAAAAATACCTTGCACACATGCGCAGAGCTTTGATGCATATGTTTACTGTAACAATGGTTGACTCAGAGATGACAGAGAGGGTAGGATCCAAGTGCAAAACATTTTATAAAAATAAAAGTAAATCCAGACACGGGGAAACAAAGGCAAAAAGAATATATCAAGACAAAAAACAGAACTCACAACACCACATGTGAAACATGCAATAAGAACAACATCAGACAACAAAGGATTACAATGATTAAATTGAAAAATAGGCTACTTTAATCCAGACTTTTAAAAAAATATATTTTTGAGACATTTATTAACTTGAGATTTATTAGTTCTAGACTGGGGAGTCACAGACTAAGGTAAATAAGGACTAATCAGCTACTCTTTGTGAAACCAGGGATGGAACCTTAAAAAACAGTAGCATGGTGTGGAACTGGAGTAAATCATCCAACCAAACAATAGCTTGTTTGTAGTCACATGATTCTGATGTGCAAAATTCAGATGGAGGGCAGGAAGTGAAACGCAGAATGGATGAGATGGAGGAAAGTCCGTACTGTACTGGTATAGACTCTATTACAAGAGAAAGGTATAAACAGAAAATCACAACATATGTTGGATGTGATCCTTATGTTATGAAGAGGAGCTATTTTTTAAACAAACTGAAGTACTTGCCTGCCATCGATGTGATAAATATGAGCAACTAACTGATCTGGATACAGACTGGATCTGGTGGCAGCGGTGACCTCGGAATAAGAGAGAAACAGACTATTATTAGCGTAGATGCCATTCTTCTAGCGATGTAGCAAGTACATCGGGTGTTATGGGAAGTGTTCCCGGTTCCGGTTGTCCTACTTAATGCAGCCTAACAATCCTTTAACGGATTTTAATATTAGAAGTGTGTTATGTGTAAGCCAGGTTAAAGAGATGGGTCTTTAATCTAGATTTAAACTGACAGAGTGTGTCTGCCTCCGGAACAATGTTATGTAGATTGTTCCAGAGTTTGGGTGCTAAACAGGAAAAGGATCTGCCGCCCACAGTTTTGAGATCACAGCGGACGTGGAGGACTGTACATAAATGGCCACATTAATTTACATTTTGATTAATTAAAATCTTCTACACAGCACAGAAAACAAATCTTTTATTTAAGTTCTGAATTGATTATATGTAGCCTAGCAAAAAAAGCAAATAGTGCTTCCATATAATCACTAAAAAGCTGTCAATGATTTCAGTTTATCACAATCTCACAATGTTCCATTATAATAAATTAAGCTCTCCAAACTGCACAATGAATCTCTTATTTGGATCGTGAGTATGTGTGGCATTTATCAGCGAGTGAATTCTGACAGCCGCCTTCTATGCCCTCGTTTTCCACTAATACTCCAACTCGCTCCAACATTGTGGCCACCTCGCATCACACCTGGTCAGACGTATATATGGGCTCAGGCTCCAGGGCGATGATTGACCCTGTTACCTGAGGCTCTTTGGTCACGGCGGGCTCGTGCTCACGCCGGTGCAGCGCTGGGATGATGGCTGGCTGGGTTCTGGTTCAAGAGTGGGGCTGGTGAGTTCTTCATCTGCGTTGCAGGCAGTCAGCGGCTAGTTGTTATTCACCAGCACCCACAAAGGTGGCGAGGCTCGAGAGAGCAATCCCCCTGCTCCAGCAAGAGGACGAGGACTGCAGGATCATCCATTCTGCCAACAAAAAAAAATACAAAAAACAAAACAAAAACTCAAACATTGCTGCTGTACTTCAGTGTTTGGTCTGGTCTTCTGTCACGGGAGGTAGTAATCCAGTGAAGATGAAGAGGATGGAGAGTTCAATCATTTTAATTAATGACAACGCAATAATAACGCAAAAAAACATTAAACAGTGACAAGACTGGACAAACACTGGGAAGAAACACAGGGTTTAAATAAGAAGGGGACTAACAAGATAATTAACAACAACAGGTGAATGAGACACATGAGGGAAAACTAGATCAGACTGGGAAGACCAAGACTGTGTCAAAATGATTATAACTTAATATATTAACCATTTGCACACACAAGCATTATCCAACACAGCTTCTCCCGACCGCAGATGCAGGTTTACAAGCCACTTTTTCCTGTGTTTTTCTGTCAATTTTTTGCTTTTCCCAAATGAACAACTTTTGGTACACAATAAAAGCTCCTTGTGGTTTCTCAGTTTGATCAATTTGAGCAACCATGAACTATGCAAAACACATGCATTTTGAGTTTGTGATAGTGCTTGCTATGTAGAAAACCACTGCCTGCCCTCCAGCTGTGTTCCGTGCCACAGCAATGCAGTGACGTGACATTATATGCAAACAAGCTATGGACAAAGGTAAAAGAAAACGTTCAAAGAATTTCTTTGAACTTGAAAAAATCTCTTGAAGCAAATTGTCTAAAACCACCCAATTATTGAGAACAACAATGCCTGGAGTAAAATTTGCAATAAATTCAAATCAAATGAAAAAGTAAGCGGAAGGACAGTCCAACAACTTCAGATAAGATACTGTATTTATTAAGCTGGTCCACTTTTACAATCAGTCACCTTGACTTTGTTTTGTGTAACACAACACAGTGGGGTCTACCTGTAAATATATTTGTGATCCAGAAATGTAAGAAACAGTATAAGTATAAACAGTATAATTTCAAAAGTCTTGGTATCTCCGAAAATGACCATCTGGACAGTTCAGATGGGGCGCTGGTCCAGTCCTCATTTGGTAGGCAACATTCATTCAACATGTGCCATCATCACACTTCAGGGAATATGTACTGCTCTTCATTATCTCTTTTACCCCATAACAAAAAAATGTAAAAAAAATAAATAAAAAAACGTAAATATTGTTCTTTAATGCATCAACACAATGTGAGGATCTCAACCAGAGCTTGGATGGCCTGAGACAGGATGCAGGTCAGCACACTAGATCTGAAGCAGCCAGTAGGGAAGATGGTGTCACTAATCCGGGCCGAAAGACCAAGGAACTGACCATACATGAGAAACTGGCCATGGAATTTCAAGAGCACAAATTAAAGTATTTAAAAGAAGAACATGAAATGGAGATTAAAATACTTCATGTTGAGTTAGCTGTAAAGGTGGAGCAGAGAAAAATGAAGCAGCACCAGTGTCAACACTGTTCAATTTAAGGTCCTGGCATGTCTGTTTCTGAAATAAAAAATAAAAAGCAATAAAAAAGTGTTGTTTTCAATTATTTGCATTTCTTTGTGAGAAATGCTGCAAAGCAAAAGCATTTCTGCAAGCGAGTCCATTCTGCAGGCAGGTCCATATTGGCCTCAACTATGGGAATTTCTGGGTCATTGTCATCTTCTATTTCAGGATCTGGCCAGCCATGATGCTTGATGTAATTGTGAAGCACTGCTGTTGCAATTATCACAATACAGCATCTTCTTGTTTCAAAGCGCAATGTGTTTTTGAGACATTGAAACAGCTCTTCCATACACCAAACAAGAGCTCCACTAGACCTTTAGTGTGGATGTGAGCTTTATTGTACTGCTTTTGCTCAGGTGTGACTGCATGAAGATAGGGGTGAACGAGAAGTTGGTCTGTACGTACCCACTGTCACCAAGTATGATTCCATTATGTTGGGCTCCTTCCAACTGAGCATACAATGAGGAGTTTTGAAAAATCCTTGAGTTGCACCTTTCCAACGTGCAACAATGTTGGAAAACTGCATAGTGGGAGTGCACACACCTTGTATATTTATTGAGAACCAGATTTTATGATTTCGGTACTCTTCAGCATCTGTTGTAGAGGGACATTTTATGTAAACATGACACCTGTCAATACAGCCAATGACTCCAGGGAATTTACCATAATCATAGGACTCCACCTTGTAGATGACTTGGGCAGCAGCATCAGGGAACTTGATGTAGTTATCTTTCAGTTCACATATAGCATTGCAGACTTTATGGACTATTTCGCACACAGTTGGTTCACTTACGCCACACAAATCTCCTGATTCCTGATGGAATGTTCCACATGCCAAATACCTCAAGGTGATCAGTACTTGCAGGGAATGAGGAATAGGCCTTCCCCTAAAAGAGTGAGATGAATGCTTTGGTTCAAGCAAACAAATTATGTCAGCTGCATTTTGTTTGGTTGGATTTGGGAACATTTGAATTGAAATATCCCATTTCCAACTTCGGAGAGTTCCAGTCAAATACACATCACATTAATACAGTGGTGACACATTGTCACCATGACACAACGAGACCCTTTTGTGCTTTTGTGTCAATTATGGTAAAAACTGAAAAAATGATGATGTTCATTTTGAAAACAGCTGACCAAAAGCAAAAATATTATAATTTTATTCATAATTTTATTAACCTAATGTCTAATAATGTTCGTAAGTTTGACATAAGGTAGCTAGACACTATGCTCGTTGGAAGCAGTGATGTCAAATTACACATCTTGCTGGGGTCGGGGTTGATCAGTCTGCCCCGAGTTCACAGGTCGGATGTCCAACGTCAAGCGGTGTTCCAAACGTTATTTCCAAGTTGGAGATGGGGAAAATCAGAAATTGTAGTTGTCTGGATCGCAGCATAAGACCTGTATAGGGCACACACCTTCAGTCACTCCTCATCTGGCCTTGAACCTGGATACAGACTCCTTACCTTAGTTACCTACTATACTCACCTCTGTTGTTTGGCTTATGAGTCTCCAGCAATCTTCTTCGTTTGCTCCAGCGATCTCCATCATTTGACTCCAGCAATCTCTCTACATTGCAACCTGTATACTCACCGTGCTTCTCCAGTGGTTTGTGTATCTCTGTATGTGTGTGTTGATCCAAATTTGCCCTGTTAAAAGAGAATCAAGTTAATCATCCCATTCATCTGAATTGAACTGTCTGTCTGATATTTACCTTACCTGCATCTATCCATTCTGCTGTTGTCAATACCTGCTTGGGATCACTAAAATCTGTTTCTGCATATGATATTATTCTGACAAAACTTAGCAGATAACAAGGAATTAATTCACTAGGGAACTAATCACGACAATGAAAATGAAAAAATGACACAGGTGAGAGACATGAGGGCTAATGACCAGGGCCGTATGCAGGTTTTTATAGATACAGAGGTCCCAAAATAGAGATTGGTAGGGGGGTTCAGGGCATGCTCCCCCAAGAAAATTTTGATTTTCCTGACCTGCATGTGTGCATTTTAAGATGTTTTAATGCTCATAAATTGGATAATAATATAGGTTTAAAACCAAGTCAGTGGGCAGTAATAGCATAAATTATTTTTCAAGATAACAGATTCTTAGACATGAGAATCAGATTAAATATTTCAATGAATGATCCACGCTACAAACTGGAAATAGAGAAGATATAGTTTATGTTTATGAATTTAATAAACTCACTTATAATTATCCTGGTAGCCTTCAGTAAAATCATGTGTCTAAAATGAATTTTTTTTTATTATTATTATTTTATTCACACTAATAGAAATTAATCTTTTCAAGTTTAAACTGATTTTTACACTTTATGGGCATTTTTACCTTTATAAAGCCTTTTTTTATTTATTTTTTTCTAAAAGTGTCCATTATCTTTTGAGTCAAATTCTTACATTTAATCAGTGAATTAGAATAACAAGACATTTGGGCTTTTACCAAGCAAATTATATCAACACAGAATCTGCGTCTGAAGGAGAAGGGTCTGTCTGCGGACTGCAAAGTTTCCAAAAATTTCCTGTTAAAGTCCTAAACGAACCCAAGCGCTCCTCGCTGAACAAACAACTCAAAATGGCCGCTGCGCGTCACGCCGCCAGGTCCCTCCCGTTCCTTTTGACATCTCGCGTGGTTCTGTGTGATTTGGACAACTTCAAGTTACGCCTCCTTGTTCAAGTTACGCCCCCTTCAAGTTACGCCCCTGTCTTGCAGTCCACAGACAGACACACTTGGTCTGAAGTGGCATTTACAGTAGATGTATTTACACACTGTTTAATGCAAGACATGAATGCATTTAACCTGCAATTACAAATGCATAAATAATGTTTTGATATATTAAACATAAAACGTTGAATACTGATATTTGAAATGATTTAAAACATGAAAAAAAAATTTTTTTTTTAAATCGAAAAAATAGTCGAAATTTGAAATTAAAACCACCAATAGGTGTCAGCAAATCACTGTTAATAAGTGAGTCATTGCGATTGAACCGAATCATTTAAACGGTTGATTCATTCAGGAACGAACCGCCATCATGCTGCTCAGAGACGCAAAACTGAGCTGTGGCTGTGTTTGGAATTATTTTTGTCGGCAAAATAGAGCAAAAACAGGCAATATGCTGTCTGAAACGTAAGTCTCTTAATGAACTTCTTGTTTATTGAGCTGTTGTAAAAAAATCAATATAACATTTGTTATCATGGTAATTTTTGGAGAAAAACGGCACTCTTCGTGTGGAAGTAAATGGGAATGACAGAGACTAGAAAAACTACAAACTGACTACAAACAGAAAGTAAACTATGGAAACAGGAAGTACAAAAGAAAAGTTCAAATAGAGAACAGTGCAGATTGAAACATTTACATTAAGAATGTGCATGTGTGTATTTCTATCATGATTTTGGCATAGTTTGGTATGTCAATGGATATGACAATGATTTTTTTATTTTTTTTTTTTTGGTCACCGTGGTCTGAATAGTCAAGTCAACTTTATTCATATAGCACTTTATATAGCAGCTTTACAGTTACAGACAAGGAAATAGTGATTCAATGATGCAAAAAAAAAAAAATCTGCTGTAAAACAACTCTAAAAAGATCATAGTAACCAGTCATTGTTCAGTTGAAATCAATTAATAGTTGTTGATTCAGTTCAGTTCAGTAACTGTGTAAAATCCATAAATTAAGGAATGAGTCTAATTCATCTATAAAACAGGTCTGGAGAAAACAGTGACGTCATCGCCCAGCTCAGTTCAGTTCTCTTCCAATAGAGTCTGAGCAGTCAAGTCGATAATATTGCCAAATATTAAGTGTCCCCAACTAAGAAAGCCAAAAGGCAACAGTGGCAAGGAACCCAAACTCCATCGGTAACAGAAATGGAGAAGAAAACCTTGGGAGAAACCAGCTCAGCTCAGTCGGCGGTGCCAGTTCTTCTCTGGCCAGATGAACCAACGGGATGTGGCTTAATTCCAGGCTGCATAACAAGTCAGAGCTGTGGACTGATATATTTCTGAATATTTCATCCAGTTCCTTCTGCTTGAAGATCGGGTACATCACGTGCAGAGACTGCAGAGGGCTTGTCTGGTTCTCGTGGTCTTCACTAAGGATCTGTGCGAAGGCTGTCATGCTGATGAGGTCTTCACAGTGAATCTGTTTTTTTGTGATATAGTATGTCATGGGATATATGTCATTGTCATATGGATATATATTATGTCATTTGTATAATGGTAATTATACAAAAATAATCTATATACTGTATACGTATCATCTTATTAATTCCATAGTTAAATGATAACTAAATAAATATAATAATAAATTAAATAATAGCTAAAGAACTGGTGAAAACCCCTCTATAACCAGCATGCAAACTAGCTATGACCAGCTATGACCAGGCTGGAAGACCAGCTTAAACCAGCCAAGTTTAGGCTTTTTTTTTTTCTCAGCAGGTACTCACTTGATAATAAAATACATTTTTTGAACTCGTTTAAAATGCTAAACAAAGTTAAATAAAAATGTTTTCTTTCATTAGTTTTTGACAAATAAGCTTTTGATTATTTATAACATTTTATAATGTAACCCATATAAAGAAAGAGAGAGAGAGAGAGAGAGAGAGAGAGAGAGAAGAAATTCAGCAAGACGCTTATACATTAAGAGGGGACTTTTATTTTGACAGGACGAACAGTGTTCCTGTGATCACGCCTAGTAAACCGAGTCACACGATAGTCTGTATGATCAGCGCTTTACTGTTCTTTTAAAGCGCGTTTAATTCGATATCTCTAAGCATTCGCTTTTAAGAGGCTGTTAAGGAGGTGAAAGCTTATCGCTGAGGAAAAAGGTAGATAAACGTATTCCTTTCTCATTTGAGTGTGATTTAGGTTAGGCCTGCTGACAAACTAACAGACAGGCAAGCATGTTTACAATAGAGGACAGATTGCACATTTGTTTATTTGATTGAGCCTTTTAGGTTAAAAAAAATAATAATTTTTGAGTGAGATATTTATTTCAAGACTAACATTGTCCAGTCTCTATATAATCCAGTGCTTTTGTATAGCATCACTGTGTTATGATGTTCACAGGTGCCTATAACTTCTATTAAAATGTTCATTTTGTATAAAAATACATACATACATAAAAACTCTCTTATAAGAAAACATTCTGTATTTATTTGTTATTTCTTTTAACAAACACCAAAAGACAATAAATAAATAACCTGCTGATCCAAGCAGAAAACACATATTTGTAATTCTAAAGGTGTTAGTATTAGAAACCGTTCTAGATTTAAGCAGGGTGACCTTATGCAGTGACCTTCAGGGGGGTTGTGATGGGGCTTATGATTTTTGTGATTAGTAACGCTTTACAACAAAGTTGTAGGCTATACATAACCATTTGATTAAGTACCATGAATTAACGAATATCTTTTTATGCACGTTTGTCCATCTTGGTTAATGTTAAATTATGAATACTTTCTACTCTTGACCATTGTTCGATCATGTCAGTTTTAATGATGCTTCTTTATTGTATTGTTAAAAATGAATTGGACCAATGATGATTGCTATATTGATGAACGTGCATCTGATTGACAGATAAACCGTGCCTTCTTATTTCAGGGTTGTTGATAATGTTACTTAATACTTAAGATGGAGACAATAAAACAAAGCATTTAATATGCAGGCAAGTGTGTCTGTTTTTATAAAATGTCCCTTTTTTGGAAATACCATGGGATATAACAGAATCTGTTAGGAATATTTAACATGATGTAAATGTGTTTTATTTTAAGAAGTCACATGGTTATGTAATATTAATGTATTTTTGCATGTATGATTGTTTGAGTGATGGAGAGGGTCTGGCATGGCCGGTGCTGTCACACAGGTGCCTCATAAACTGAGAAGCATTGGATCCAGCCTCTCACACCCAAACCCACCTTATGGCCTCCATCTACCCGCCCTCATTAGAGGACTCAGCTGAGGTGAAGGAGGGCTTCCTGTGCCCTCTCTGTTTGAAGGACCTCCAGTCGTTCTACCAGCTACAAGGCCACTATGAAGAGGAGCACTCCGGTGACAACCGGCACGTTGGTGGTCAGCTGAAAAGTAAGCTGGAATAGTCTCTTAAGTCTTAAGATTGATTGCCATTTCTCACAGTCCATTACTCAGGGGAATAAACAAGAATAGAGTGTCCCCTGTGTCACAGTGCTAAACGTTTTACAAGCTGTGTTCCATTCGATCGTAAGTGCCATAAGAAGTGGTCTTCACAGTTTATTCTCCCATCTTAAGTGAGATTCCAGTCCGAAGGGAGTGAACATATTCAGTTTACCCACCGGCCATTGTGCACTACCCCAGTACTGCAAGAAGTCTGACTAAAATAAAGGCAGTGAAAATGATTTGAGGCTTTGATTGAAGCTTCTTTTATTGAGTAGCCTATACTTAGACCCAGGTGTGATTTGTGACCCTGGACCACAAAACCAGTCTTAAGTGTCAATTTTTCGAAATTGAGATTTATGCATCATCTGAAAGCTGAATAAATAAGCTTTCCATTGATGTATGGTTTGTATTTTTGGCTATTGCTACAAACAGCGACTTAAGACTGCGTTTGTGCTCCAGCCAGGGTCACATTTGTATGTAGTTGTTCGCGAGTATAAAGTGCACGAGATGTGACTTACTGTGCAACTATCATGATTACGGTTAAATTTGATTTAACTGTATATAATAATTATATAAATGCACATGGATGTATTATACACTAATGTTCAAAAGTTTAGATCAGTAAGATTTTTAATGTTTTTAAAAGAAGTCTCTTCTGCTTACCGAGGCTGCCTTTATTTTGCAGCAAAATCGGTATTATTGTGAAATATTTCTACAATTCAAAGTAACTATTTTCTGTTTGAATATATTTGTAAACTGTAATTTATTTCTGTGATGCGCAGCTGAATTTTCAGCATCATTACTCCAGTCTTCAGTGTCACGTGATCCTTCAGAAATCATGCTTATTTAAAAGAAAGTCTATCCACCTTAATTTTAATGTAAGCGTGAGCACTGCCCTTTATAACTTGAGTGTGCAAGACTTCCGGTGCCATTCTCTTCCAGTTATTTTAGCTGTACAAAAACAGTCTGTTATGCTGTGTGAAATTGCAAAATTATTATCATAATCTTAAACACACTGGTTTAGTTTTACAGTTTAATGCACTTTGATATTCTTCTAGTTACTTACCTATAACGGCTAACAAAGCGGAAGTCTTTCTTATTTAAAGAAAATAGCTTGCTTCTGTGTTGCAAAATAAGATGGATAGTAGAGTTCCTCAAATATTTTTCACCAAGGGCCAAATTCTGTCATCAATACATAGCCAAGGCCTATGTGGTCCCACTGCTGCCAATAGTATTTTGACACACCAGGTTGCCAGTTGGCAGGAAAACACAGTGTTCTGCAGCCATGGAAGCCAGTATAAACTGGACCAGTGATAGCAGATTGCACCCAACCTAAAAAGCCTCAGCATCCATCTAAAACGGTTTATGACCTGAGGCATAGTAAATGGGGACATGCTATAAGCTTGTTGTTTTATATACAGACAAAGATTGAGAACCAAAACCAACGCAAAAGGTAATGTATTTAGGCAGCGTGCGCTGATTCTTCTAGAACAGTTCTCAATTCCAGTCTTGGGAGCCCTGCACTTTTTGGATGTCTCCCTTATCAGACACACCCAATTCAGGTCTTGCAGTCTCTGCTAACGAGTTGATGAGTGGAATCACGTGTGTTAGATGAGGGAGATGAACAAAATGTGCAGGGTCCTCCAGGACAGGTTTGAAAACCCCTGTTCTAGAACACCATGTTGTCAATTTACACCCTAGTTTTCCAGTAAGTGGAGGAACTGACGTGTTCAATTATTAAGCATTTTTCATGCTGTTTTCTCAGGCCTGGTGCAAAAGGCAAAGAAAGCCAAAGACAAGCTGTTAAAGCGGGATGGAGATGAGCGGACAGACAGCAGCTATGAATCATTTTATTATGGAGGAGTGGACCCCTTCATGTGGGAGCCGCAGGAGCTCGGTAAGATTCTTACTACCAAAGACAGATTTAAAAAACAAAATTAAGACAAGCAAGATTTTTTTATAAAAATGTATAAGATGCAAAGCAAGGCAAGCTGGTCCTGTATCATTGGGTGTTAACAAAAGTTGTCATTGTCAGACTGTAATAAGTCTTCTGTTAAAATAGGAGCCACCCGCAGTCACTTGGATTTCTTCAAGAAGCAAAGAGCTGCAAGAATTGATCATTATGTTATTGAAGTCAACAAATGCATTATACGACTGGAAAAGGTGAATATTTGTCTATTGTGCTCCTAGTAATTTCAGTCGCATCTTATATGATTGTTGATATACTCTAAGCAAGTAGAGGTCAACCGATAATGGATTTTACCGATACCAATAGCTAGGTTGGACCACACTGGCCGATACTGATTAATCAACAGATAGTTTTTCAAATGGATACTGAACGAAAACTAAATAGTGCTTTACTATTTAAAAAATAAATAAAAAACTACTGAAACAGTACTGAACCAAACATTGTACATGAACAAAAAATATTAAATATTAATTATATATTGATCATTAAAGTTAGTTCATAGTTCATTAACTAATGTTAAGAGAAGCAACTTCAAAAATGTATTAGTAGATGTTGAAATTAACACACTCTAACTAGATGGGCATCTTTAAATAGCTACACAAAGGCCATAGCATGAAATTACATAATAACATAATTATTGACATTTTTTATAACCTTTTTTAAAACAGAGCAATAGAAATTTTTTTTTACATTTAACCACTGTATTTTTAAATTAACTCAATTTATTGAGACAAACAACAAATATTTTTTTTGTTTTAACAGTCAAAAACACAGTAAAAATTAAACAAATATCTCATTTCTAATGTTTTATATGCAGACTAAATAGGTTAAACTTTTGGCTTGTTTCCCGAGGGCGCAATTAGCAAAATAATGCAGCACATTAAATTGTCAATGCAAGGAAGTAACTGTCTATAAAAAACGTGCATTACAAAACAGCACCACGTATTTATGCATTGCTTAATACAAAGAGCCGAATCGCCCATCACACAGATTGCCTTTAAAAACATATGAGACGCAGTGAAAAGGAATAAACCTCCACAAATTCG